TATGTCGTCTACACAAGATGCAGGCGCCTTGACCCAGAATGTTTGCTTAGGGCATTACAGTTTTCAAGTAAGTCCCCCTTTCTCTTCCTCTTCTTATTTCTTATTTCATAGGTCCTCATGGTTGTATGGCAGCGAAGCATCAGTTCAAATGGCTGATGTACTGCTGTTGATGATGAGGAGTCTACCCCACACGTATTGGCGGCTCCTTGATACGCACGGACCTTTCGTCATAAAACTCGGTCGGATTTCTTCTTAGTGAGATACACTGATCAGTGGAACAAACTACCCCTACAGATACGCATGTGTACAAGCTGTCACGTTTCGAAATTCCCTTCGGACGTTCCTCGCTATACCAAATGTGTTGAAGATATTTGACTCACGGCAAACACTAGAAACATTGACAGAAGCTGTTATAACAAACATATGAAAGAGATATTCGCTTACAACTAATTTACCCACTACATGTTATTACCTACAATACCAAATCCTGTGTCTGTGCAGCCTAGTAGTCCAACCCTATTATTATCTTGTCCTGATGATACGAACATCCGCAAAAATTTTACATTTTAGGTGCACGGGTCTAGGACACAAGGATAAAAGTCATGATCCGAACTTCTGTTAATAAACTTTACTATTATGAAACGTATTCACTGTATAAATGATCGTTCCTAATTTGGAGGCCGTGTAAAGTCTATCGGTAAATATACAAATTTATTTTATTTATTTATTTTATACATCGATCACAGTCACCCACCACTGATCACCACAATCCCAGCAATCCGCAAGCCAGATGTGGTTCGTTCAATTCTCTTCTTCTTCCTCTGCTTCTGCTTCTTCCTCTTCTTCTTCCGCTTCTTCTTCCACTTCTTCTTCCGCTTCTTCTTCTTCTTCATATTCTGTGTCAATTTTGCGTGTTTGCTTTCCCTTAAATTCTATGGTGATGTGGCTGTGTATGATGTGAATGGTGACAAGGTGCCTACTTCTCTAACAACCTCCACCTAGATTACTGGCTCCAGTAGAATGTGGGTTTTATGCAGCTTGTGTTTACGGTGTTCGTGTAGAGCACCGCATTGATGACGGGTTGCGGAACATCCTTAGTTTTGGTGCGAGAACACTTGTCTGCGAGACAACTATCCGTATGTTGCTGTTTGCTGACGACTGTACGTTGTTTGCACACAGCGCGGATGAGTTGCAGCACATGACTAGTGCTCTGGCTTCGACAGCGGCCAAATTCGGGCTCACCATCAACACAAGCAAAACTGTCAGTCTCTTTCAGCCTTCACCGGAGGTGCAATCTTCAATATTGCCGCAAATCAGCGTTTGTGCTGAAGTATTGGAAATCACCTCCCGCTTCTGCTACCTTGGGAGTGTGATGTCGACTGATCAGCAGCTACACGTTGAGTTGCGTATTCACGTGTCGAAGGCAGCAGCGGCATTCGGGAAGCTAGAGTACCGAGTGTGGAACAACCATCAGCTTACCATTGGCACGAAGCTGATGGTGTACAAATCCATGGTGCTGTCCGTTCTTCTATACGGCAGTGAAATTGGGACGATGTACCGGCGGAATATGCGATAAGTTGAGCGTTTGCATCAGCAGTGTTTGCGACTGATTTAGCGCATCGATTGGTGCGGCAGAGTTGCAAACATTTATGTTCTGCACCGATTTGGGATGTGTGAAGTAGACTGCATACTTTTGCTAACACATTTGAGGTGTCTCGGTCAAGTGTGCCGTATGTATTCGACGCGGATACCGAAGCAGTTGTTATATGTTCAGCTGAGTGTTGTGAATCGTCATTCGGGGAAACTGAACCTTTGTTGCCAGGATATGTTCAAGGTGATCATATCTCGTTTTAATTTTGATTTCAAGTTTTGGGAATCGAAGACGGTTGATCGGCGTGCATGGCGCGATCTGCTCGCGAATGCAGTTGCCGAGGTGTAGTAGAAAGCCCTCGTGTTTGCGGAGATAATGTGCAGGCGCCGATGGGTTGTACTCCATCAACATCGAGCGCATGGTGCTGTAGCACATACGGTCGCGAGTGCCTGAGTCAGGCAGGCCTAGTGAACCATGAGGGACGCCACTCGGGGCCAGCACCGAAGCGACGATGGGTCCTACAGAGAATGAAGGCAGAACCGGCGCAGCGTTTGTAGTTACGCTGTATTTGATTTAATACCGCGTGATTACGCGTTGTATTTCTTTCTTTTAGGTGATGGGTTTCTATCGTATCCTAATGCGATTTTTACCTCATCTTAACCTTTATCTGAGGAATCTCCTATTAACTTGAACTCGTCGCTTAAGACAATTGTCGCCAACCTGGATAGCATATTCCCGTTTTTAACCTTTTATGAAGCTATATTTGATGACATCTTGAACTTAGCGGAAATCTGTTGATAACCAATTTATTACGGTTATGCCATCATTTCTGCTTGGTTTATTTGGTATTTGTTATTTGATAGTATCAGTACATTGATTGGCTGTTGTTTGACATCCCCAGATTGACTGCGCTTGATGTGCATGGTGACAAGGTGCCTACCTGTCTATTACCCACTACCTCGTCCATACTGGCGCCAGGAGACACTTGGTCGTTATTGGAAGGGACAGGGTGCACAGTCCTTGTGGCCGTGTTAGGATCAAAGAGTCGTTTCATGCACTCAGTGTGTAGTGGATTACTATCCGGCCACCTTAATGTGTGCGAATAATTCCCATCTGCAGCGTGCTTGTGTTGGCTGTGAAGGAGTACGAGCCGGCTCCGTTGATGAAACGTGGCTCCCGGTCTTATTCCTTCGGGTTTACACTGGATATGGGGTGTGTGATTGGAGCTGTGGGTGGTGCAGCGCAAGCCATCCATGGTCCCTCTGTAGGCGCAGGCCTCCTGTAGCTGGCCACAGCGACAAGCGAATCCGAAACCGGATGCCTTCAACCATATATAACACAGTTACTGGACGCCTGCGTCTAAAGAGTGGTCATTATTTGATTGCGCTGCATCACTCACAGTTCTATCCGCACACCACATATCCAGTGTAAACCCGAAGGAATAAGACCGGGGGCAGTGAATTGGAGCAACGTTTAATCAGCGGAGGCGGCAGACACTTCTTCAAAGGGGAAAGCAGAAGCGTACATGCCTAGCTGGAGAATCACGCTTACCAGAGGTACACAAGGCGGTGGTCGGGCTGTAGCCGGTTCCACTCTGGATGCATGGAACCACTGTTTAAGCCTTGTACGAGCACCCTTAGGGTGCACCTCGCCACCCCCAGCAACATTTTGCAGTCTTCTGAAACCAGTATAGACGAGGTGGATGGTAATAGAGTCAGGCACCTTGTCAAAATTACTATCAAGCGCATCTAAGTGGTACATATCATACGGGATTTTTTGTTTCAAGCGAGTGTCCAAGAGATAGTTAGTCGAGTTCAGCCCAACTGAAAGGACAGAGAACATTATATGTTTCATCGGCGTCCATCTTGGCAACTGCAAAATGACAGTTCGAACCGAACAAAACTATCTTCGCCCAAATGGATTGTTCACGCTGGTGTATGGTTTACCACAAACTGAATGGAGAAACCTGAACCCATACGGACATTAATAATACGGAGGTGCATGGATATAAATTTAACGCTCATATTTATCAAGTTATGGGGAATAGCACGAGCAATAATAGGTGCCCAGTAAGAACTGTTGGTGGTTACTTAAATCTCAGACATGAACCTAAGTGACAGCTTTAAACTAACTTTTAAGCGTGGACACCAACAATAGACTGAGAAAGATATGCAATAGAGGAAATAAATGTCATCGGATTGGTTAACGCGTGGGGTGATACAGAAATATGATGTAAGCTAGAACCTTGATGACTCATCGTTAAGGTATTGTATTTGTCGTCTTTGTGTGTGAAGCCGGGCTTGCAGCTGACGGAGGTTTCTCGGTGTGAGAATGCGGCGGAGTTTCAAATGCAGTCGTCCTGTGCCGCAGGTGAAGTCTGAGTGGGTCCGATTGTCTAGTTCTAGGTATGTGCTGATTTCCGAAAGAGGTCTCTTCCGCTAAGGTAAGACTTGGCTAGTGGCTATGTCCCACACTCTTTGATGGCGTCTTTGTCGCAAACACAGCAATAATACAGCAAATAAGTACCCGCTGCCGGCTGCCTAACACCTGGATTTCGACAAACTATTCATATTCGCTTACTCAACAAGTGGCAGATGTAGCTGTGTAATCTGCTGTGGTAATAAGCTACTGAAAACGCATTTGTGACCGTTCGTTTCGGGTGCAATCATACGGCTATCTTCAAATATTGCGACTGTGCGCTTATTCCTTTTCTTTAAACTGGAGAAGAAACTAACATACGATCACAGTTTAGCTTACTTTCTTCTAAGTCTAAACAAAGTTTGGCCACTTATAATCCAACTTCTAGCAGACATTTCTGTGTTTCCGCCTCTAACCCCGATTGTAACTGCCTTTTGATAAGATCACTTAAGTTCGATACGGCGGAGGAACAACGGGAAATAGTGCTATGATCACTCTCATTATAAACATGTGAAACATAGCATGAATTATCAAATGCATGATAATCACCAGTTACTTGCAGGGATTCTTGAAAGCGTAGTTAGCCGTCGTTGCATGCAACAAAAAGTGTGCTTTCTTGTCGCCTCGTTCTTGCTACAATCGCACTTGGCCGTTGCAGCGCATGATTTCTTAGACACTGCCAACTGAGAACAAGACTTGTGTGCGCTGCATGAACGCTGATGCCGGGTATACTCTTATTAAAAGCCTTTCGAATGGCTATCTTTTGTATGGAGAGTAAAGCTTTCAACCACGGTATAATAATTTAATCATTTGAATGGTACATATTTGCTTCTGAGTACTTGTTGTCGGCTGCGTGTTACTACCTATCACCATCATTCTCGGCATTTAGCTGCCGGGTCATTCGTATGGCACCCAGTAAGACAGGCATAGAAATTGTTGTCATTCAAAGAGAGGAACGGCACTTTTACCTTAACATAATTATGCGATAAACTCACGATTTGGACGACAGTACGACAGCTCGACCATCTCGCAACATGTTCACGAATTTCGCTTTGGGAAACAGATGACCCAAGTAGGACAGATAGAAGAAGGTTCTTGGATCCTTGTGACACAAATAAGGTGCTGATTCCCCCATTCCCTTGATGATCACAGAAAAAAAGTTGGCGGTCGCCTCGTCTAAGACATCTGGGAAGATGCCAATGTCTGTGAGGCGATTCTCGAATCGATTCATACTCCTTCGAAACTGCAGAAAAAATTCTCCCACCACAGGCTCTGGGCCGCAACGAATCGCAGAGTGTACATCCAATAGGACACGCATCAGTGTGGTTCCTGCGATGGCAGCAGAAGAATATATATAGATCTTAGGGGAATAAGGATTCCTATTTGGCAGAATTATTGAAGAAAACGAAGATTTTCAAGTACGTTTCTATAGGGTTTATTCAACCTATAGAGAGATTCTGGCTTATGAACACTAGGCTCACTTAGACCTATGCACACAAGTTATGAATATCAAACAAGCATCCAGCGTGTCAGTAGCTAACATCATTAATAAATTTGCAGACAAAGTAAACTACAAACTAGTTTGCGGTGTGTAAAAGCAGCAATCATCTGTATCTGCTCAGAACAATTTACCGTTTAGCACGGCCAACTACTAGTTAACTTGCCCCCTACTAACAACACCGCCGCAATTTACTAGCAATTAAATGAATCTACAGACGTTGCACTTGTATTTTACGACCTTGGGTTTACGTAACAGGCAAAATTGGATCAAAACCTTACGGAACCCGAATTGGTCACACTCGAGGATCGAAACAATGGTTCGGACTGGTACATAATCACAGTCTCAAATAGGTTTATAGGGGAAGGAATTGCACGCTTGAAGACTGCACAAGTGGATCAAATAGAATGCGTATTAGTGAAACTGTGGGGTAACGGCATCTCAGAAACTGAGTTGTGGCAATGAGGAATACACCATTAAAAACGGAATAACAAGTTGTTGTGCTAAATGCTCAATGTAATGAACGGTCAGATTACTCACCCGTCTGCACCCGTTTACATGCGTCACTGTGGATTAGAAGTTAGCCCGAATCGTGCAGGGTGCACGAAAGTGGCTAAAGTGGGGGTGCAGACAGTCGTGTATGAAAGGTCGTTCTAGGGTTCGTAGACCCGGTGGGAGAAGCATGTTGATCAACAGGTTCGGCGCCTATATTGTTGAGTCAGTTTCAGGCTATTGCCCCTCAGGTTGATACTTCGACTGAGATTCAGAAGGTTGCGGCATACCGGTAGCCCAGTAGTTGGCATACCAAAGTGAGATGTCCGCATGGCCGCAGTGAATTCCAAATTCACGACAGTAAACTCTTCTACTGCCCATTATTGAGTAGCTTGTACATTATCAGAATGCACTCGCACAACTTCATCCAAGTATTTTGTCTAATTGGAGTTTGACAGCAGAATTTTATGTTGGCACTTTTCAGCATTACCTTATTTCTGTCTAAAAAGTGTAGTTATGACATTTGTCAGCTTTATTACCTTTGTTTTTCTGTGCCATAATTTTACTACGCGCTCGCATTGGTTACTGACTGTGTAACGCAAGTGAAACCACACTGATTCGTCTAAACTATAGGTTATTTTTAGTGCGTTTTATTCCCTTCCCTATCTTGGTGTGTATCGTATTCATGACGAACCAAACGGTGAAACCATCACTGCGCCTATCTTTAACGAAGCTACTTGTTTTATCTACGCTTGTACCGGATAAGGCTTGCTTCTGTCGTGTCGTCGAATACACGTGTTTCCGCTCCGTCCATTTGTTCTGGTACGCGGCTTATTTGAGCATCGTCGTCGTATATTCTTTTATAATTCGGTTGTCGAGCTTCGTTTACTATTTGCTTACAGTCCGGAATCCTTGTCGGTACCACGGACCTGCTCTACGGGACATATTACAAATGAACACTGTGGATATACTGCTGGCTTATTACGTGCGTCGTTTCACTTATCCGTAAGTCTATGGTATTGCGTTGATAAAACTACGATTTTAGAACCACGGTTTAACATTACAATTCATTCTGCCCACCGCCCTTAGTTCTACCGGCCAGACTGTGCGTTTGTCTAGTGACTCGGTCCACTTTCTTACTTCTCAGTAGTAACAGCCGCCGGCAATGTTAACTGCAAGCAATGGATGAGCAGGTTTTCACTTAAATGTTATTTCATCCCTTGCATGGCGGTCGAAATCACGCACGCTGCCTCGTAAAGTAGTCCTATCATCTCGTCACCATTCAGTTGCGATGGTACTTGAAATGATATTTTCCTGACGTTCTAACCCATTTGAAAAACCCTTCGGTGGTTGTCGTAAGCTTGCTACCGCAGTTGCATGAAACCACATATCACCCGACTAGGTCTACTCTAGTGATGAGTATGGAATAATCGTTTCTATGGAATTTCGGCATTTTCTCGAAAATCTGAACCATACTTTGCTTCAACTTTTACTCGAATGACTCCAGCATTGCATACGCTTTGATTCCGGTCATACTGTATTCCACACGAAAAGTAATATTGGTTCCGAAGCGATATCTTGGAACATATTTGGAACCGATCGGGAAGTCATCATTTCAGAAAATTTGGTAGACGACCGGTCGTCTACCAAGTTTTCTGAAATGATTCCGATGCGCTTCTTACCCTAATGAAGCACTACGTGAACATTTCCGAGACCACTCATTGTAACGAGAACCCCGTTTACTTTTCGAACAAGCTGATCTTCTATTGACAACGGTAAGTCATTGTTTAAATGTACTTTCCGTTCGATTTTGGTATTTTTTTGCTACACACCTTGAAAGAATGGGACTAGCATTAAGACTAGTATCTGTGCCGCCCAAGGGGGTATCCAAAGGCAGAAACAATCCTGCCATTTGGATTTTTTTGGATAGCTCATTATTCCACCAATCTGGTGTGGTTGTATTGGATCCACACACAAATATGGCACTGCGGATAGTATAACATGGCCTCCAACACAACCTTTTACTAAACAATACCGGTGTACTAAATTTATGTCTGACATGCTCGGTAGATGCACTATTTCCGCGACAGACCTCGTTAAAATGCCAAGGGGATATCGTGTTATCTGTAATACCGTCATTTTATCACAAGTGTTCAAAAAAGACCTTGTACAATTGCCTCTTACCCGAACTTTGATGTCCACCGACAAATATAAAAGGCATCTCGCGTGCGCTTATTTCTTCATGCTGTGTACGATCCAGCGGCACTGCAACCCATAGGAGAACGAGAGACACAACCAGAAGTCCCAGAACACGATTGACTGTAACTTGTAGTGGAAGTAGTGGAATGTAGGTACATTAGCTTTGGAATATAACACATGGGAAAGATTATACTTAGCCTTGAAAAAAATGTAATACTAACCCCATCTTTCACAAGACCTGCGCTGCATTTCAGATCAACAAGCGCCGCGTCGAATATCTGGTATTTGGAGTGGCAGTTCGCATCTTGGTTATTTGATGAGCATATCAGTTAGCAACGTGAATTACCGCCCTGATTGACTTTTGTGCTGCCCTCAACTGGCCTGTCTGCCTCATGTTAGCCCTTCGGGTCTGACCTTCTAAGGAACAGAGACTTATGATATGTCAAGTGAACACAGGACATGAGAACTAAGTGTCTGTCAGTGACCCACATAAATCAATCATGTTACCATGCTTGCCATATGTGATTCTATCTACTATGGTTTATAGTCACGCACCTGTAGAAGAAGCAGTTTGTTACCCAGTGAAATTACATGGGTAGCAAGCACTGTCGGATGACCAGGGTGGCAGTGATACTCTGAACAATGAAAGTGCTAGAAACTAATATGCGTGTCTGTGGATTGGCCTTAGAGTGCAAATTGACACATATGGTCCAACGTTGGACCGGGGTTCGATTCCCCGTCAAGGCACATTTTTGTGTGTGAATTTTAATCGTGACTTCTACTTTCTACGAACGTATGGTTTTAAGGGCAACTGACCAGTCCCGAGTTTTGGAGCATTTGGTGGGTATTTGAATTAGGCTAAACAATCTCTGCTGAAAACTCGGTTTAACCTGTGGTAGACATCCATTATTCGGACCGCTAGGAACCGTAGCAGAAGTGGAGAGCTTTTGGATTGACCAATCCCTAAAGGTGGACAAGACGATGGGTTTCCCCTTATTTTGATTCACTAAACAGACATACGAACAATAGCAAATTGTATTTCGCGATAACTCCACGAAAAGTCCTCTTGAGGAGGCCCGATCGCTGTGTACATGCATGAGCCGAATGTATCACAGTAAACAGGACAAATTCTCGAGAGAGAAGAAATGAGTATCGCATGTCCATTGCAGCTTACATAGGGTACATAACTGCAGGTGACTGCAGATGTTTGCTCAGATGGTCCAATAGTGGGAAACATTGATTAATAATGCAAGCCCCCCCTCTGATACTGTCACACTGACACTGTCACACTGATACTGTCACAATCGATCGAAACAGAGAGGGATCTTCTTATTTTAGCCTATACTGACACAGTATTCTCGGATAACTTGTCCTCGCCGAAGGCAGCAAAACGAAGGAAAAATCAGGACAGTCCTCAATAAATGGGTTAAGGGAAAGTGACACGAGTATGTTGATAATATACCCTAAAACTGACTTCACTATGATAAAAAATATAACGCAGGACAAGAAGGTCTCCAAGTATTAAAATAAAGGCTGCAATTAATCATTTATGTCTCTTATTGGCACCAAAATGCACAACGCGGGACAGACAAGTACCTTGTATTTCATAAAATTTCATTTGATCAGAAGACAACATTGTCGGAATGAGCAGGCTGTAAAAAATCATCGATCTATCCACTGTATGCGCCATGTGAATGATCTGTCAATAGCTGTAGACAGATGGAAATTGCGAAGAATTGAAATTCAAGATGGAGTAAGAGGGAAAAACGTAGTTAAGCGAAGACTAATCGGAGATAGAGAAATTGTAGGTGCGTTTCTAAGGTGCGGGCTTCGGAATTATTGCCTCGTCGATCTCTGACGCCAAAAAGAAGTGAAAGCATGTATTCCCATTGCTGTATTTCAATGCTCCCACAAATTAAGCACGAAGAAACAAAGGAAGACTACTGAAGATGTTGCTTCTTAGATAATAGGCTTTTCAAAATTAGATGACCGATGTTATCTTGAATGAGGCGTTTAAAAGATGGTCAATATAGCTGGCGAATCGTCAGCTGATTAGAGATTTTGTCTTACTAATGTTTATGTAGCATAATCTAAAAGGTTTCCTACGTACCGCCCCACCAGTGAGCGAG